AAACATCAGAATTTTAATAACGGACATGTTAATAAATGTAAACACAACAAACACTCGGGTGAGTGGCAAGGTTATATAGGGCTTAAGTGAGCGAGTTATCTCCAGATTAAAGTTACTATAATTTATATAAATACTGAAAGTGTGTAACTTTGCACAATCGCACAATTTATACTACTTATATGTACATGGATGTAGATTGTTTTCAATTTAATCAATAAAAGCAGATTTGCTGCATTAAAAATTCGTTAAAAATCATTTCGTGTATGACGTGCTGATGTTTGCTTTTCAACATTCGCCTGGCGGTTCGTTCATCTTAAATTTATTGACAACAGTTTACACTTGTGTATGTCAGCTGTATTTGTTACTAATCATATAGACAAAAATCGTCTCTCAGAGAATAAATCAAAATATATATGATATTTTTACGGTATGAAATTATTCATTACATACACATATATGAACGTTTGAACTTAGGCCTTGTCTGCAAAAAATGCGCAGTTCTTGTGTAAGGTCATTAGAAATATTTCATGTTATAAAGACCTCTCCTTGCGTCTGTTTTTTGTGATCCTTGAATGTTATAGAAATAGTTGTTAAATACACATTGTAGACTCAAATATGAATCATGTGTTTTAAGATCTTTGTGACAAATATCGATCCAGAGTACATTTTATAACATGAAGTATACACATTCTTATATAAATAAAGCGTTGCATTCTTAAGGTGGAAAAAGATTTCAGAGAATGTTAGACAGACTGTAGAAGATTCGTGTAAACATATACTTCTAAAATATCTATTTACACAAATGGTGTTTTAGCTTTATTCATATATTTTATTTCATAATGGTATAATTTTGAGAACAGACATGCTCACTCGTTTTACTAAAATTGAAATATTATCTTACGCAGGCTTATGAGATTTTAATGAACATACGATCCTGTTTTGAATAATGTACGTTGTTAGTGCATTAAAAAAACTTATATTGTTGTGTCATGTTGTTATTCGGACACACGATATGCCACATGTTTTTATTTTGTATTATACAATTATTGACAAGTGTGCCATTGAATATGATGTGATATTCAAGAGTGATCACATATTGACCGAGGCGATAGCCGAGGTCAATATGACTTTTTGCCGGTGAATATCACATCATATTTAATGGCACACTAGTCAATAATTGTTTTATTATATGAATAGGCTATAAAAAATAAAAATCACAGAAAGTACAACCTCATACAGTACAACTTTTGTCTGTTTCGTTAAAGCGATGGAAAAAAGACGCACGTGGAAGACGTGCAACAACTACACTAACACTGCGCATACAAAAGTAATTCAAGTTTATACTCATCATTGCGGTGCAACTTTTAACTACAGTAGTGAAGTAATGATATTTTAATCGAGAAATATACCATTAAGAACAAACGCAACAATAATTTTTTTGATAAACACGCGTAATTAACAGTCTACGATATATGGTCATTGAATACGAGTCTCAATTTATTTTTAGACTGGGAAAATCCAATTTAGCCAGTGAATATGATACTACACCCAGTGAATATGATTGTATAAAAAGTTTTGTTGACTGCAGTTTGGACCAATGAGATTGCAGATATATTTAGATCAAATAATAAAATGTATTATATTGATATTAATATATGAAATGAATCATAATTAAAGACCCTTATTGAAGTAAGTCCCAATGTTATTATAAATGTAACTTTCAAAATTGAAAGACAGTTATTAAAGGAGAGCATGCACATTACAATGTTTCAGATTGATTCAAATGATTTTGGGCTTTAAATGGGATTCGATAACATTTTAATTTTTTTAATTTGATACCCAAAAATGAATGCGGCCAGCAATCATTCTCCACACTTTGAAGAGATCTGATGACCTCTCCAATTAAAGCTACCATAATTGCACGTCGAAGGTTCGTTAAAATGTGAGTTCGACGTTGACAAAACTATTGTTATGTTAATGGCTATGAATATCGCATTTCGTTTCAACAGCAAAATAAATAAGAAAACATCAAGTTTCACAAATAGACCTTCTTTACAGAAAAGAAGCTTAGAGGCTATTATACAAGCATCGAAACGTCATCCCTTGGTGAAGTGTTTGCCATCAAGAGTTTCGTGTTATTATATTTCTATTTATTCTCTATTCAAACTAATTTCTTATCATTTCGATGATAATATGTTCAAGCGCTATTTAGATAATACCAGCAAAAGGTCCGTACGTTAACATCAAAGGTGATATTCATTTTTATCGAACTAATAACTATTTAAACGAGTTACAGTATGTAGAAATTAGAACCGAAAACTTTGTTGAGCTACGTTGGGCTAATTTATTGATAAAAAAAGGACTTTGTTACTATCCCCCTTTCAGATAAATATTTTATTGAAGCAGATGTAGCATTTTTATTTTTTACCTTAGTCGAACTTACGGGTCAGAATTATGCACTCGTTCATACGTCACGACTACTATCCTAAACAGTATTATATCTTCTTTATCATCATCATCATCATCATCAGCATCATCATCATCATCTACAATCATCATCAACATAATCATCATCATATTCATGATCATCACCATCACATCATCATCATCATCATCATCATCATCACAATCATTATCAGCACCATTATAAGCTGTATGACCAACATAGCTACTTTACCACTAAAATAGAACTGTAACGCATAAAGTATGGGCAACGTAGTATCTACGAAGTACTATAATACGTAAAAAGTTTGAACAACGTAGTATAATAAAAACTAACGAGGTACGTTAACATAAATACTACTAGCTAAGTAATGTGTTTACCACATAAGTATATATTAACAATGTGATATCTCTATAAAAAGTAGCATTTTAACTTTAAAAGTACAATCTTTACCACATCAGCAGAATATCGTCGCAAAATTGTACGAGCAACGTCGTATCTGTTTAGAGCAATTGATTATCAAACAATCCCCAACTGCATCAGAACAACTTTTATGCAAAAAAGTACAATTAAGCTACGTTGTATCAACACTGCTAAGGAGCCATTTAATAACGCAAATAAATATCATTAACAGGGTATTATATAATCGTCAAAATAATTTGATGAAACACGCATTCCTGTGACATGGAATGTCTAGAAAATAACAATATCGCTTTGCTATGCAAAACTATGGTTCTACCTTGAAAGCAATCATTGACTGCTAAGATATCGATTTGTTGGCAGAACAGCTATGCAAAGCGGACAATGCTTGACTTATCAACAAAAATGTGACGGTGTGAATGAAAAGAATACAGGAATTATTGTCATTATATACAAACAATTCATAAACATTATTTTATGCTCATTTTTTTTTACTTTATTCAAAGTATAGGTCTAGTCTTATAATGAGTAAAATTTTAGCATAAATATATACATGTATTACACACATACCAACAGAATAAACCTTCATACTTTTTTTTAATTTCTGCCCTTAACAAGTTGTGTTCCGTTCAAATGACAACTATGTACAACTTTAACCAAAAACAAGAAGTATCTTTAAAAAGATACTCGGCCGAAGTCAAACTTGTTAACTTGCATAGGATAAGCTACTACTAACCATGCTTACCGCAAACAGGACATTTTATTCGTCCTCAATAGTGTTATTTCAGATCATTTTTCCCGCAATGTTTTTCCTCATTAATTGTCATCTTAGATTTAACCAATATTACTTACATTATTTGATTTTAATCAAAATGGAATTTGATTTGAATAGGAATTTATAATAAAACAAAGATTAAGTATATACTGTACACTAATTCCACGGAGAATTTTGCAACTGTTGATTAGTCGAAAGTTCGTTTCAATCGTCTTATGCCCGGTTCGAGAAGAGAATATAATGACTAGAACAGCTAAGAAGAGAACCCCAATCGTACGCAAAAGTATCAAAAAGGCGATCTGTCATATTTAATTTTATATATTTATGAAAAGCTGTAAGAAACATCTAGAGAATATCATTATTGTGTTTTTATATTTATTCTGATTTATATATTTTTTCAACACTTCTTGCCATCGTGCAAGCGAACAGACATCTACCTATAACGGAAGCTCTTCTGAAGTATCAATCGAACAGGCTATTAGTGTTAAAATGACCAATGAAAATTCTGCCTTTATTCATTTCTTTACTGTTAATTTTAGCGGAAGTCAAGGTGAAATCAGACGGCCTTCGGCCGAAAAACAAACATATACATAAAATACGGAATACCGTTAGGGCCATCGTGTTTATACGTAAAAATAAAGAGGGCGACAATGCGATAGTACGACAGTGCGATGACGACAATGCGACAGTGCGATGACGACAATGCGACTGTGCGATGACGACAATGCGACAGTGCGATGGCGACAATGCGATAACGGGCTAGTACAATGACGACAGAGCGATAGTGTTATCGCACTGTCGCCATAGCACTGTCGCACTGTCGAACCGTCGTCATCGCATTGTCTCACTCTCGCCATCGCATTGTCGCACTGTCGTCATTGTGTTATCGCATTGTCGACTCTCGCCTTCTGGTGGACGGTTCTAAACTGCTTGCGAATAAGTTGACGGTATAGAATATGGGATAAATTTACTTTTGTCAATAAATCTTTTTCTTCTTGTTTTTTTCTTTTTTTTTTCTTTTTTTTTTTTTTTTTTTTTTGTTTCTTTCTTTTCTGAATACTAATAATGTTTAATTAAAATTATAAATTAATAATAAGAAACATTTTATATATAAATACTGAAAGAGTTATACATAGACGGAAAATGTAATAAATTGTGTGAAACTTTAATATACAATGTAATAGAAATATTTCAGATGAAAATGATCTTATGTTGACATTAAAAAGATGAAGAAAAAAATCATTGTTTATTACTTGTATAAAAAAGACAAACAAATTACATTGGTAATTCCATTGAATTCGTCATCAGTGGTTTTATTGTTTTGTAAGATTTTTGATTTATTTATAATTAATTTTTATTATATTACTAACATTGTAAATAAAGATACATGTAATTAGAAATTTTCGTCAACACATTTTTTTCTATATATCTAACATAAGTGGTCAACAATTTTCACTTTAAGATTAACTTAACAGCAGATCCTACTATAAGTTTAACTGGTCAGCATATTGTACTATAGCCAACTGATTCCGCTGGTGGACATAGTGAGACAATGTGTTTCAATGTTGAAAAACACATCTATCCATTATATTTATTCCGGAAAAATTCTTACTGTTTATTTTTGTTGTTTTTTGTTGTTGTTTTTTTTTTAAAATAAGGGAAACATGCAAAGTTCGAATTACCAACTACCTGCCGGTAGGTCGTAGGGGATTGAGAGTAACCAACTACCTATCAAATTGACGCTTCTTTCGATTTTATCAATATCTAAGATAGAGCCATTTGGTGCTTGGTGAACATAGCGCTTTTTATATTTCCTAAAGATAGTAAATTAATATGAGTAAATAAAAAAAAAACACATTAAAGATATACTAGAATTTTGTGTCCACTTGTTTTATATATAGCCAACGTGATTTTAGTTCAACCTTGAGAAACTGCTTATGAACAGAGGAAAATGATATTTGCAGTGAAGTACTTATTTATTTTGCAATGTTAGTAGAAATTGGTTTATGGTTTATGCCATATTTTCTTCTTATACTATATGGTCTGCAGACTTAACGGACGGTGCTTTAGGTACACATGTATAGTAGAATCTGCTGACCAGTTAACCCATTACCGCATAAGCATTTTGTGAAAAACAGCTGGTTAATTATACTTATATAACACGACACAACTTAATGTTCTTATATAAAACGGCACTATTCACTGTCCTTGAATAACATGGCACGACTCACTGTACTTTTATAACACGGTACGACTCAGCGTACTTATATAGCACAGCACAATTCACTGTACTTCAATAACACGGCACGATTTTCTGCACTTATACAGCGCGGTACAATTCAATAAACCTATATATCAGGGCACGATTCACTGTTCTTATATACCAAGGCACGACTCACTGTTCTTATATTACACGGCACGATTCACTGTACATGATGTTTAATTATGTCAAGATATTCCAAACTATATTAATGCTTATATAATTGCTAGGGGGGAATATAGCAAAAGAAACTAATTACATGTGCATTATTCTCCGATAATCATTACTAAAAATATCTTTTGCATACACAATTACATGCATATGCTTGTCAGTGTTTTACAAAAGTACTCGTATTTACATTGTATTTAAAAAGTATACACACAGTATTGACGTATTTACTTTAAATCAAAAAGTTTTATTTCGTCAGACATCGTGACTATCAACGTAGACTGTTGATGATTGAAGCAGATTGAGAACGGGTAAGTCAAACCATGTGATGGTTTAACAACCGTGCCGATTTCTGACATGTTTTCTTGTGAAATCTGTTTAATATTTCCTGAGGTAATGTCACAAAGAAATATGTTTCCCCTGTAGTCACTGCAAACACCAATAATACCAGACTGCTCGCTAAATTTATATGTATCTATATGTTTCCCTTGGATATTTAGTAAAACTATATCATTTTGGCCACTTGCAACATATACTTTATCACCATGGTTACTTAATTTAGTCATCAGTCTACTCTGATGAAATAATTCATTTCCAGAATTGTCCTTTGACACCGTCTGTAAGAGGTCACCTGATGTCTTGTGGATAAAAAACGACTTATTGTCGGTTATGATTAGCTTGTCATCTTTGGAAGCAATACCAAAACAACGATGGTTCATCTTAAGCTGCCTTACTTTTATCATCGGGTTAAACAGAGAAACAAACTGAATCGTTTTGTTATCTAAACTGACAGCAGCTTCAGCTTTACTTGTACAACAAACATCATGTGGTTTATCTGGTAGACAGCATTGGTCTACTACAACAGCTTTTGTTGTGTCAACACATTTCGTCTTCTTGTTGTAATAGTCGGCTAGTAATAGAAAGTTGTCTTCCGTTAAACAAGAACCATATATACAACATGTTTGTTTATCCCCTTGTACCTTGACATTCATTTTCCTTTCAGCTTTGACAGTATAAAGGCTTCTCGTTTGAGCGTATTGTTGATCATAGTATTTTGGAATATTTCCAAAGGTTTTCTTCTGCTTCAGAAAGCTAGTAATGTCTTGGTTTATAGAATATAATAACTGTACGTCAGCGTTTTCGTCATTTAACAAATCAAGACTGTCTTTACCTTTAATTTGTTTATAAGCAATCTTAGAACATACAAATTCTTGAGCCTTGTTTCCTTCAGCATGTTGTAAATTAAAAATTGCTTTCTGTATATTATCTTTCTCTCTTTCTATGTCCTTCTTTTGTTTTATGAGTGCTGACTCTTTTTTAGCGAACTCATAGTCAACTTCTTGTATTGATTCCTTTTCCATATCAGCAAGTAATTGTTCCAGGACTTTGCGATGTTGTCCGATTTCCTGAATAGCATCTTTTTTTGACTTTTGAAGCTCTTGCATTTGTTTGTCATTTCTTTCTTTGAGTGTTTCTTTTGATACCTCTATGGTTTTTAATTTTTGCAGAGTTTGTTTGACCTCTTTTTGTTGATATACGGCATCAATCACTTCTGATATAACCCTTATCGATGTACAGTTTCTGAAATATAAGAGAAAATCCATGTAAAGCCGCTTTAAAAAATAATGTCCGACATTTATATCTTTAATGCGTGAGAGCTTAATCATAAATAAAGCATCGAGTTTTAAACTATGAAATAGGAAAAACATCTTTTATTTCAGAAAATGATTACATACACTGGATTTATACTACATTGTTTTACAATATTAACTGATATTGGCTTTAGACTGATTAATATGTTGGAAATGTTTCTTTGTTTTAATTCCGATCCAACCACGTGTCGTATGGTAGTTAATGTTGTGCAGTCGAAAATGATAAAATTCATTTACAAAAAAAAAATAAATAATAATAATAATAATAAATAAATATGCATGCTGATTTTCTTTTAAACACAAATATTTATAGATATAATCATTTTCTAAAAGGTCAAATTTTCAAAACAAAATTTGTGAAATTTCAAATATGTTAAGTTACAAATATTATATGTTTCAATAACAGATGTCAAATTTACAATTATGTAACTGGAAGATTAAAATGCGGCTTTTCCTCTTTGTCCAATCAATTGTGCTAAATGTTTTATAATATATAGGTGATAAGGTCAATTAAGCTGTCTGTACTTATCATGTTGTTAAACCTTATGACTGATAAAATATCCAGGTGATGATTGTTGTTATAAATTCTATATGTTGCTATGTTACATTATTTTGTATTGAAACCTGATTGGTCATTTTGATATTTAAGACACAAAAATGTTAAAATTCTATTGGTCAGTTTAAAACGAAATCAATTTTAGAAATATTGTAAAGATACATGTAGAAAATTTAGGGTCAGTTAGATTTTGGATTTCCAAGTGATAACATTGTGGCTTTCCACTAGAAATAATTGTTACTGTTTTTAATATAAAGTTGTTGACATCAGGATAACTTGTGTATATTTGATATATAATAAATGTTTGTGGTATTCCACTGAGAAAGAAACAGTAAATGATAAAACGGAACATTGTGTTGAAATTCAATCCACCTTCAGTAGAACCAATAAATCAGCGCATAACACGTGGCGGAAATCAGTGTCTTTCCCAACCTCTCAATTTAGCAAGCGAGACTTCGAATTCAAATTCCCCAAGAAGAACAACAATGAGTTTCACATATGGAATATCATTCAGAAGTGAAAAACCATGTGGACAATGTGGACTTAATCATTATAACAGACAGGAGAAGTGTTGTGCAAAAATGGCAAGATGCAACAAATGTAAAAGAATTGGACATTTTGCACGAGTTTGTCTACGTCCAACAGTTAGTGAAAAGTCAAACCAATCAAAACAACGCGATCAACAACGTATGACAACTTTTATAAGACGCAAGACAGCCGAAAATACATTACCATTTTACAATGAAGATGATGCCTACTTTAAGAAGAACCAAACAGATAACTCCGTAAGTAATGTTTCAACAGCAGAATTTCAGAAGTTAAAATATTTGACCGATTCAATGACTAAAACTATTAACGGTTTAAAAGCAGAAAATATGGCCCTTGTTTTTAAAAATCAAAGACTTAAGGATTTTAATGAAAAACTACAGGATGAGGTTTCCCTAAAGAAATTAGAAATTAGTCAACTTATAGAAACATTTTTACAAAAAACAACTCGCTAAAGGAAACAATTCGGGCTGACTCTTCAAAACTAGAGATAATGGACAAACTTATATTAGAATTTAAGAAACTAAATGACGATTATGAACAACTGAGACTGAAACACAACCAGAAATCTTATGAAATAGAAATGATAGAATCAAGGAAAAACGACGAAATAGATGACCTTAAAAATGAAAACCACAACTTAAAAGACAAAACTAAATATCTATGTCGAAAAAGAGGAAACAGAAATCAAGATCTTTCAAGTACATGCGAAACCGGATTCCCACATGAATGGAGAGGTCAATATCATCATGGAAGACAACAAGGACAGAGGGGACAATACAACAGAAATAGACGTCATTAAGACTGTGTTGTATACAATAAGACAGTGATTAGAATATTTATTATAAGTGAATGGTACTTACGCTTTTCAGCAAAATCGGTGCTTTATATTCACGATATATGTCTGTAACTGAATATCTTACGTAAACACTATTCTAATTTAATGATATTTATTTTTGTTATATCGTATTTATGCTGCATTTCACAGGAGTGAAATAGTCTTAAAGGAGGGAGAAGTGTTGTGCAGTCGAAAAATGATAAAATTCATTTACAAAAAAATAAAAAAAATAAATAAATATGCATGATGATTTTCTTTTAAACACAAATATTTATAGATATAATCATTTTCTAAAAGGTCATATTTTCAAAACAAAATTTGTGAAATTTCAAATATGTTAAGTTACAAATATTATATGTTTCAATAACAGATGTCAAATTTAAAATTATGTAACTGGAAGATTAAAATGCGGCTTTTCCACTTTGTCCAATCAATTGTGCTAAATGTTTTATAATATATAGGTGATAAGGTCAATTAAGCTGTCTGTACTTATCATGTTGTTAAACCTTATGACTGATAAAATATCCAGGTGATGATTGTTGTTATAAATTCTATGTTGCTATGTTACATTATTTTGTATTGAAACCTGATTGGTCATTTTGATATTTAAGACACAAAAATGTTAAAATTCTATTGGTCAGTTTAAAACGACATAACATTAAGAAGGCATTGTTTTATTTTTATAAGGTTCAATGTCAAATTAAACAGTTTCTGAAATGATTAAGAACTTTTCTTATATTTGAATTTTATATTTTTTTCTGATTCCTATCTGTTAGGATTGAAGGTTTACAAACAATTTGTTTATTTTCTTATAATCGTACTCTTTTTTATTTCTATTTATGCTAATAACATCTATATATGTTTACAATGTTTAAAAAAAGTCGTAGGTAGGAGTTTTACACCTGTTATTTTAATAGTGCGATCCACAATTCTTAACGTATTTACATATTTATCTAGATAAATACCATGATCTTACATTTACAGTTTAAAAAGATTATGACAGGCATAATGTACTATAAACATTTTAATAACTTCACTATTCCGTTGTCTATATCTTTATATGGTCACGTCTTCAAAAGGGTTTACTTTTTTGTTTAACGAACATGAATGACTGGTACAAAATGTATATAAGAAAATAGAAAAAAACTTGTCTTAACAGTTTCAAAATAGTTTTTACTTTTTATTTTCTTTTAATATTATTTTTTAGGAGGGGGGGGGGGTTGTGGCATTGTTATTTGATTAAGCGGTGAAAACGTGACAGTGTACATTATAAACTGAATTTTTTATACATAAGTATTCACATTGGTATATTTGTATATTTTTCTCTAACATACAGACAGTTCAATATAGTTATTTTTATTTTACCTAGTGAATGCGAACAAATGTGTGTATATATAACATTCAGATTTATATAATGGATCACCCGGTAAATTGATAAACAAATTACAGTAGGTACAGACATGCACTTAGGAAGACTTTTGTTCATTATATTGTTCTGCAATTGTACATTTTAATATTAAACCATACCTATGTTCTAACGTCATACATGTTGTACAGCCGACGTCGTCGTGGTTTTGACAGTACATATCTATAATCTTAGTCTCGTGTACAGCACATCTCTCCGTCGGTATAGCTGGTAATTCATTTGTTGATCCAGCTGATTTAAAGCTCGCTTTGTCCAACAAATTATGGTTTACCAGAGTAGGAAAAGCTTCATGTACAACCACACAAGCTTGGCAACAATACCCTTGACATTCGACACAATATTTAACAGCTTCTCTTTTCTTATTTCTTTTAGCACAACCGGTACATTTAAAGTTAAATATCTCATCTGAACTTTCCGCCGCCATTTTATTAACTTATTCTATTTACATCTACTTCCTTTTTCGGTTTTAAAATGTTTAACAATTGGCGGAAACGCGCGATGTTTAAAATTATCTTTAAAATTTGTGATAACGAAAGCTTTTTTTTAACTCCGAGAAAAAAAATACCGGATTAAAGCGAACAAAATGTATTTAAAAAAACACTGATTGAAGGAAATGCCTTTCTATACATAAGAAAACAGGGGAATACTTACTTTTTCAATATTTTGTAATGTTTTTATGAAATAAGTCTTTTCAATTTTGGGTGTATCTGTGGGCGATTTCTTAAATCCCTTTTCATTTTGATTCTCAATCGGATGTTAACATTCTAGATACTAACGAAATGAGATACACAGTATTGATGCGACCTAACCTCTTATTAACAGCTCAGATGCAGTTATATATGGTGGCTGATTTGTGCCATTCGTGTTTTCGCCCCGCGACCCCGCCAAGCAAAAAATCGATAATTAACATGTTAAATGGCGGGGGCGCGCAGCGAAAACACGCTAATTAGCGAGGGCGCGGGGCGAAGTTTAATAAATAAAACTTCGCCCGTGACCCCGCCGTTTTATTTCTTAAATCTCGATCCGCGGCCCCGCGCGGCGAAAATTTTTTTATTAAAGTTCGCCCCGCGCTCTCGCTAATTAGCGTGTTTTCGACTTTTTCGCCTGGCGGGGTCGCGGGGCGAAAACACGAATGGCACAAATCAGCCACCATAGTTATATGATATTTACCACGTTAGTTTTCATCTCAGAAACATTTACACATTTGAAACCTTGAATTGTTTTATTGCAGTTACAATAACATTTATAAGTTTCATGAGGTAAATGAACCTGACTATAGTAAATGGAGAAGACTAGTATAAATATGAATGAAGTAATATACCAGGTTTGTCTCCCTTCTAATAGACTACATAATTTCGTATAATAACTATAATAATCTCGGTATTCTTCTAAAACAGAAACAGTTTCATATATATTCTGTATATGCGCATTATTTTTTCTATATTATAATTCATTCTTGGATAATGTTATATATTATATGTGCGGTATTGTTATATCTCAGATACAGTTTCATCAGAAGGGTTCGATGTTAGAAACAGATATATTTATTGACTTATTATCTACTCGGTATCTTTTCAGATAAAGTAAAGTAGTATTTCCTTGGTATTGTTCAGTCTCAGAAACAATATTATGTTATTTACTTGGCATACTTCTTTCTCAGAAACAGTTATATATTTGTTCGACATTTTTTCAATCTCAGACACAGTAACGTAATATTTTCTCGTTTTTTTTTATCTATCTCATAAAAAGTTTCATATTGATTGTTCTAGCGCAGATAGTGTAAAGTATTTCCTTGTGATTGTTCTATCTCAGATACGTAAACAAGAAAAGCATTGATGCAAAGCATCAAAGGGCGTCCAAACAGCAGGTGCAGATGAACTAGTAGATATATGATGACAAGATATTCTTATAAACTTTTCAATGGTTCATTGGGTTTTACCAGAATTGTATATCACTTTTGAATGAACGGACGAAAGACATTGTTCATTATTTATAACTTTGATCGGCATGCTAGAAATTAGAATATTACTTGTTATTTCTTTATGATCGTGGTTATTAATAGCAACGGATATACATGTATACAATCATTTATAATCCATATGTGTAACGCATGATCAACACCATACTTGTGTAATTGTCCCTTATTATGTTATTGCTATTAACGAGGACCCCCTCTTAAGGTATCTGTTCACACTAAGTAACAATATGACACTTGTTATATTACCATGTTGATCATGTTGAGCATAATTGTTTATTATACAATAAATGTAATTTCTATTTTAATAAAAAAAAATACAGATTTTATGAATATTGTTTTCTTTTCTTTTTGTGTGTGTGTTTTATGCGCTATTTTAATACTGAGTTTTACGTTTACTACTATTTTAAGAATTCAATTGTCATAATGATCGACGATTATAAGTCAAAACTTAACTGGAAAAAGTCAGTAAATCATGGTTAATCTTTCAATTTATAATATTGTCTATTCTTTAAACCATATACATGTACATTTGTATTTTTCTTTATCATTTTTTAAATTATCAATCAATTGAATAATTCATAAAATCTGATTTGTAACTTTTGAATAATTCCTCGGAATCTTTACTAAACACGAATAACAAATTATATAAAATGTTTTAAAGTTTGATAGTGTCATATTAATGCCATAAAAATGTACATTTTTTCTCAATTATTGTACATATTTATTGTTTTTATCTCATATAGATAAAATATAACATGCGATTTGTGTTGTTGGTTTTTTTTTTTTCGAATTGTATGTTTATGTATAATAATAATCAATCAATTCGAGAGTTGATCTGTGTTTATTAATTATTGTAACCAAACTAAGTGACAAACATTCATTTTGAAAAAAAGCTTATTTATATGTAAAATATTTGTTCTGTTCTGTAACGATATCTACTCCAAAACCGGGAGAGACCGGACAATAAACGTGTGGTACTATTCGCCGGTCATTAGTAAATCCCGGGAGAGACCGGGAATTACATAGGAGTACATCCCTCTATAAATAGATTTTCGGAATATTAAGGTCATCAACTCATCATTCTATTAACAGCTTTCGGAATAACATACCATAATAACCCACTGTGTACTACAAAATGATAAGCAAAAATACCCCGAAGAGCGCGATTTATTGACGGAAAAGGTTATTTCATTTGAAAATGTTTGCATTGCGAAATTCTCCAGTTCGCCATTCATTGTACCAATCGCGACTAATTAACAATCAAGCACCCTCATACCGATCGGAATGATCGGCTTTTATTATTGGCAACTATAAAAGGCTCGAGAAGTTGCTGACGCCCTTTCACAAAATCTCATTTCATTCCAATAGGCGCCGCGCTTCGGCGCGGACGCCAACAATAGCATATTATTTACACGGTTTGTTTCCATCTCAAATATTTATCATAATTATTATCGGTACAATTACATAATATTTACTTACCTGTAGTAAGTGGGTTTTTAGTATTTGGAAATGTTCAGAACATTTGCAGTAATATATATTTTACTCGTTACTGATTACTTATTACTGTGCTGTTCCAGTAAACAGTGACATATAATATGAGAACGGAAATCTTTTATTTCTCTTTTTACGTTGTCCTCTATGAGATCGTATTTAGTTCAAAAAATTATCTTATTCAATATAGATTGAGTATCTACCTGCCTCGAAATATATAACAAAAAAGGAGACAAACACGAGAAAACGAACTTACTAAACGAGTTTACTTTTTTTAATTTATTAAATGAAATACATTGTATTACTTTATCAAAGAGAAGTAACAACAAACGGCATAATTTCAGTTAATCAGTTTAGGAATGAATAAAATTATTGAACAGGATGATTTATACACATCATATTTACTGAATTGTGACAACAACTAATACACGGGATGATAATTCTTACATTGATGTTTATAATGACTATTATTCATTGCAAAACAATTCTATATATGAACTGTATGGTCTATACCTAAAGTAAAAGGCTACTAACACACGGGATAATAATTATCATATTGATGTCTATTATGATTACTGTTCATTGCAAACCAATTTGAAATGTGGAATGAATGGTCTAGCTTTACCTTTAGTAAAATGATATATTAAGTGTGTTGACATGTTCATGTCTGTCATGATATTGAACATCCTCTACTTGATTTCTTATAACAATAAATGATAAAATCAACGGAAGTAACCAATTTGATGAATGTATAGAAATTAAGTGGGACAATATCATAATCAAATTATCAATAATTAATTAAACAATGTTAAAATGAGAAAGACATAGATTTGAATTCGAATAACGTCGTATATAATTTCTATAAGTTACTTACATAGTAAAGATATAAATTATATGAAGTATTTTCCCATAGTTTTTTGAAAATGGACGAATATATATTCTTTAATACATTTGTTCAGTGAAGTGATGGGGATTTTTGGAAAAGCCATTCTTGTAGGATTTGTGGCATATCTGGTATATATTCATTTCAAACCAAATTCTTCTAAAATAGCAAACGCTATAAATGATGAATACGATTACGTAATAGTTGGGGCGGGATCCGCCGGAGCGGTATTAGCATCACGATTGTCAGAGGACCCAAATATAAGTGTTCTTCTTTTAGAAGCTGGCGGCGAAGAGACAGACAACCCGTTGTTTTCTATCCCTGTTGCAGCCCCAAAACTCTGGCAAACTGAATGGGACTGGGAATACTACACTGTTCCCCAGAAAGCAACCGGGCTCGCAAGTGGTAAACATCCGGGTATGCATTTCTGGCCCGTTGGAAAGGTTCTTGGAGGTACTAGTATGATAAATATGATGAACTATGTACGTGGAAGTAGATATGACTATGATGGATGGGCCAAGGAAGGATGTGAAGGTTGGGCCTATGATGACGTATTACCTTACTTTTTAAAGTCAGAGGATATGCTTGATGATGAACTGAAAGATTCAAAATACCATCATACCGGTGGACCATTAGGAGTTACATTGGATGATTATGTGCCATTAACAAAAACCTTTGTGGAGGCGGGAAAGGAACTCGGATATGAAGAGGTGGATTATAATGGGGTAAACCAGCTAGGTTTTAGTATATCACAAGTTAATGTAAGAGGAGGAATACGAGCGAGCACTGTTCGAGAATTTTTAAGACCCGCTATGTCAGGAGAAAATTTGCATGTTGTCATTCGAGCACACGTATCTAAAGTTAATGTTCAAAACAATACCGCTGTTGGCGTTTTCTTCATTAGAAATGGTGTCAAGAGGATGGTAAAGGCAAATCAAGAAGTTATTTTGTCCGCTGGAACGATTGGATCATCTCAAATATTGATGTTGTCTGGAATCGGGCCAAAAGAACATCTTGAAAGTTTGAACATACCTGTCAAAGCAGATCTGCCTGTCGGAGAAAACCTTCAAGATCATATGT